ATTAATCAATAATTGTTCTCCAAAGATACAGGATACATTGAACATGAAAAAAGAATATATTGATATTTTTTTATATTTTATAATCGATTAATCAAGAAAAAATTCACTTTTTATTCTATTTTTAATGTAAAATACCATGTAGGGGCATACATTTTCCATTTTGGAATGACCACAAAAGCAAAATATTGAATTTTTTTAAACCATAAATTATGTAGGTGACGATTGTGTTTTTTAATAGAGAGGTTGACGACTAATAAATAGTCATATATATACATAATCGAATAAACTGTGAGTCACATTAAACTCATTAAGCTACTAATAAACATTGCTTTGAAACAACAATAACAATATGAAATATTTATTAGAAATAAATGAAACAAATAACATATAATGGGAGTTTTTCGATATAATCAAGTAATTATCTAAGGTTTTTTTTTACTTCTTAATGACGTCATTAAAAGATAAAACTTTAAATCGATCAGCCATATGGTTTTTAGCAGATTTTTTTAAAGGGCGGAAAATAGTTTGATTCGTTCCCTCACCAATCCATCTGCCACACGATTCAGGCTCTTCTTTTTCCCACGTTGCCCTCGTCTCATGACATGATCCTCAAATGGTTATATTAATAAAATATAAAAATATTATAATTCAGTATTAACTGTTTGAAGATTATATATCTGTTAATTTGTTTGATTTTTTTACTTATTATGTTTAGAAGAAAATTATGTTTGTACCACAGATTTTATTGATTAAAGGGAGGGACCGAATCCTAAAAATGAAAGTTGGAAGAGGACCAAATATGTTATTAAAATGAAAAATAGTTTGAGGGGCCAAATCTGTTATAATAATGAAAAAAGGTTTGGGGGACCAAATCTGTTATAAATGAAAAGTAGTTTGAGAAACCAAATTCGTTATTAAATTGAAAATGAAAGTTGAGGAAGAGAAGGGTGAATAGACAACATTGCCCCTCACTAGCGTAGACTTAACTGAAAGAGTTAATAAAGGGACCATATTCGTTATTAAATTGAAACTATAGGGATGTTTCTTGTTAATAATTCTTTTCAAAGACCTTACTTGTTAGTTTATGTAAACCACATGTACAAAATTTGTATTTAACTCTAAAACATTCACGTAAAAGTGGAAAAACAATTTATTAAATACTAGAAAGTTACTCCTACAATGCAGCAAGATATATCTCGATTTTAGTGTTTCGTTTATTTTTTTGGTCTCTGTTGATATTATAATATGGATTTATGTGGTATTGAGCAAACAATAATGTTTTTTTTAAATATAAATTTGAAGATATCATAAAAATAAAAAATATATATATAAAAGTTCTCATTTTTTTGTGTAATTTCTTTAATTGAATTTTTTATTATAATTAAATTTAGGTTTAATAACAAAGTAATTTGTTTTTTGTTTAATAATATAATTTTTATAACGATAATAACTAAGTATTTTGTTAGAACTCAATAGTTATCCTAATTATATTTTAGATATATTTAATATAAGAATTTTATCATGTATTTAATTATATTTATCTACAGTTAGTTATACAAATATAAATATGGAAATTAATAAGTTGTACTTATACAAAATTTACTTGTAATATTAAATTTTAAGTCATATGGATTAATAAGCAATAATTTATCTATGAAAATTGGTTTTTAAAGTTTTTTTGTCAAATATTTTATAATATAATATAGATTAAATTTAATGTTTTTAAATTCTAAGTTTACAAGTAATTAATGTAATGTACACTTTTTGAATATTTTAAGTTTCATTAAATTAATTACAAACAAACAGATAAACATGTTCAAATACATAATAATTGTGAGCCCTAATAATAAGATAGAATACTCCGTCACAAAAATACTCCATCATTATCTTTATCCACACAAAAATAATACTTCATCATTGAAAACAAAAATAAATTACCCTGTTATTTTTAAATCTGAAATTTACTAGAATGTACCTATGTAATGAAGTAGATAATTAGAACTGTCAATCCTAGTTCATTTGTTTATCTGTCATTCTAGATTTTATTTACGGTTTTGAGAGACTGAAAGAGTTTTTTATTGTTTATAAATTTTATAAAGCATTTTATTGTGTTATTAGGGCTTAATAATTATTTTTGTAATTAAATGTGCTTATCATCGGTTCAAACAATGAGTTTTAAAAAATTGCAGCATTGATTATTCAAGGCATAAAACATCTATTTCTTTACTTTTAGGTAGTTTATTTTCTTTTATCTCAACCTTGAATCCATTTTATTATATTATTTTTTTAATTGTTTATCCATGGAGATAAATTAAGTGAATTACTTGTATTTACACCATTAAGAAAAATTTGGATAACTCATGGCCAAAAATTGATGACTTTCAAGAAGATTCTAGAGATCGTACTTGGTGTACTTAATTTGATTATTCCTTTTATAATATTGTACTTTTTGTCCTCTTTGTAGGAATCTTATCTTTTTTAGGATGTTGTCTTTTCGTCTCCTATTTCAGTATAAATAGAGACCTTTGGAACTCATTTTATGCATCCCTAATCAGATTTGCATCTGACTTTACTTTCAATATTCAAGTTAGTTCATGAATTTCTTTAAATATTGTTCTTTACGTTATATTGTTGCAACATTGCATCTTGTTTTCACTTTATTTACTTTCCATGTTGTTACTTTCGGCTCTTTACATTCAATCATTTATACTTATGTCTTTACGTTCAATTGTTTATATTCCTTATCATTTACTTTCCGTAATGAGTATTTAATCTCATTAGCTTGGGTGTGAGACAAATGGTGAGATTTTAAACCAAAGAAAAGTAGACGTTGTTTTGCAATAACAATGTTTTACTATTTCATTCAAGTTTTATAAAAACCAATGACACTTCTTGACAAGTTGATCATTTTGAAAGTGTTAAAGTGTCATGGTCTTAGAGATAAGTCATTGAATGCACGTCAATTTGAATGATACGAGAGGTAGATTTGAGAAAGTTGCTGACAAGGAGACTTGTCATTTATATCTTCCAAACTAATTAATTCTCGACAGGTTGGTCACTCGTTAAAGTGTTAAAGTGAGGTAGATTCAAAGATGAACTACTTAGAACACACGCCAACTTGAATGATATGAGAATCGACTCGAAAGAGTAATTTTTAACAAAGAGATTTGTTTATTCATATATTTTGAGGACATCATTCGTCATTATCCCTGGTCCTGGTATTACATATAGATATGTCTTGAAAGTTATAATATAGTGCAATTAAAGATGACCAAATTGGCCCGGCCCGGCCCAGGATCGACTTAGGACCGGCCCGACCCAAGACCTATTGGGACCGTCAGTTAAGGACCGGTTATGGTTTTCATCCAAAAACAAGGCCTGACCCGGGACTGACCCGGATTTTTTTCAAAAAAATGTATTTTTATATATATTTCTAACTTTCTAAATGTATTTGATTGAAAATCAAATTACAAATTTATAATAAAACATATTTTTTAAGTGTATTTGATTGAAAACCAATTATAAAATTATAATAAAATGTAATTTTTAAGTGTATTTGATTGAAAACCAATTATAAAACTACAATAAAACGTATTCTTTAAGTGTATTTGATTGACCTAATTAGATATTTTAAAGTGTATTAGAATAATATTAAAGTATTTTAAAAAATTTATCAAAAATAAATTAAAAAAATATATATAAAAAGAAAATGTTTTTTTAATATAAGACCGATTTGGGTACGGCCCGGGACCATTTACCGTAACCAATTACAAGTACCCTTAACCGGGCCTTAGTTTTTCAACGGGACCGGGACCGGGACCGGTCCGGATTATTACTGTTTCAGCTCGGGACCGGTTTTTGGCCATGTCTAAGTACAATGATGGAAGTCGGAAAGGAATACCCTCAAAATAGATGATGAAACTAGTTATGGCTGACTGCTTGCTATATCATCCCTACAACATTGTCTACTGCAATTTGTGTTTATGTCTCACCACAAGTCTTACACCAATGCCAACTTTTTATATTATGTTATTTTAGTAGTGTTAACTCAGATCCAATAAAGGTCTTCAATTTTATCATTTGAAATCATTTCTTTCATTAGACTTTTATTAAACTTTGCTATAATCTCCATGGACGATAACCAATACTTTACTGCTTTATTACTTGGAAAAGACGATATTGGACCATATTGTATACTTGCTTTGTGGTTCTTTTTATAAGTCTAAGGGGGCATTTGGTTTGTAGATTCTAAATGAATCTGATGGAATTGGAATGTTGAATTTCATTGATCAAATTTCATTTCCTCGTTTGGTTCATTCTTTTTCACGAAAGAAATTTTTAAAATCTTACAAATTTCACAAAATAAAGGAATTTAACATTCCTTAACAACAACATGATGTTTTGATAGAATGAAATTATCTATTTTCCTAATACCAAATATGTCATTAACCCAATATACCCTAATCTTATAAAACCCAATATGACCATCATCGACCATCGTCAATCTGAATCACCACCGACCAGCGCCATCTGAATCACCGTCGACCACCGCCATTTGAACCACTGCCGACCATCACCATCTGAACCACCGTTGACCACCAACGATCTAAACCACCACCGACCACTACGAATCTAAACCACCAACGATCTGATCTCCCATTGATCTGAACCACGACCGATCACCGCCATGGACCACCATCGATCTGAACCACCGCCAACTAATATCGATCTGAGTCACCGCTGGCCACCGACGATCTGAACCATTGCCGACTACCACCGATCTAAACAACCACCAATCTAAACCATCACCGATTTGAACCACATCCGATACTTCCACCTGAAGCATCATGGACCACCACCGATTTGAACCACTGTCGACTACTATCGATCTGAATCACCTCCGGACACTGTCGACCACCAACGATTTAAACAACCACCGATCTGAACCACCATTTATCTGAACTACCGTTGACCACCTCCATTTGAACCATCGTGGACCACCACCGATCCAAACCACTGCCAACCAATGCCATCTGAACTATTACAGACCACCACCGATCTAAACCACCGTTGACCACATCCATCTGAACTATTGCGGACCACCATCAATCCAAACCACTGCCAACCAATGCCATATGAACCATTACGGACTACCACCGATCTGAACCACCGCCGACCATCGTTGATTTAGTAACATCATTTGACTTATGATTATATTTGGGTTGTGTATTTTATATTGTTTTACATATTAGATAACAATTTTATTGAAGTACTTTTAATTTTCAAAAACCCCATTTTGGTCATTTATCAATATTCATTCCAATTCTACAACTACATTCTGTGAACCAAACAGGCAGATTCCAATTCCGTAACTGATTTCATTTTCATGTTTGCCAATCAAACAGGTGGTCGAACCTGACAATATTTGATTCTAATTCATTCAAAGTCAATTTTTTAACATATTTTATTACATCCAAATACATCATATGAACCAAATGCCACCTATGGGTGTGTAAAAGAACCTACCAACAAATTATTTTTGTATATCATATCATTATATTATTAAATATCATAGTTTATTATAATAATAAGAATTATTATGATATCTACAGCAATTATATAGTAATATGTTTTTAATTTGCTTATACTTATTTTAATTTTACATTCTAATGCTTTATATAAATACAAATATTAATTTGTGGATATTCAAATAACCATTATAAAATTCTTCTTTTCCTTTAAATAAAAAGTCCATCAGTCAAAATCAAAAACAATGTAGTAATTAACATTTCAACTTTTTAGAACATTTAAAAAAATTAATATTGACCATTGTTTTATACTTGAAAATTCACAGCAAAAAATTATGAAGGTAAAAAAGACCGAACTTTCATAACAAAAACACTGTAAATGTTACCTTTACAATGTTTTACTGTAAAGTTTCAAGAGCAAAAAAGTAGTCTCACGAAAACCGGTTGGTGTCACGTGAATCCAACTCTATGTGTGTGTGTATGTATGTATATATATATATATATATATATATATAGGGTTGGGTTCATGTGAGAACAAGGGTTTTTTGTGTGACCCGTAAGACTAATTTATGTTCATTGATCAATTTTATAAGCTAATGATCTAATGGTCTAAAGTTGCACAGTGACAATTTTGTGATTATTAAGAAGTCTCGTGGCAATCTTGTGATTATGAATGTTCAGATTGTAGATCTAATCCAATGGTTGAAAATTGGTCTTACGAGTCTCACGAAAAACCTTTAATTTCACATGATCTCAAGTCTTTCTCTCTCTCTATATATATATATATAATTAAGAAAAAGTTTCATTACCCATAAAAAGCAAAAGAAGAGACAGACAGATTCAAAGAGTGATATAAAGAATTTCTAAAATTTGGAGATATAATTGTTGACCACATTTAGAAATCTTGAAATTTTCACCTCTTAATTTGCAGTAAAAGTTTCTTACGTTGTTCAAAATCAAGATTATCCAGGGGGTTACTATTAATTATTATTATCACTTCCCAATCTTTAAGGGTTTATCCCAGCAACCCCCATCCCTAATCTCACCCTATAAATACACCATCTCACATCATACACCCCCAACACTCATATACATACATATATTCATCTGCTTCCATTCATTCATCCATCACAGATCATGGGCGGCACCGATCAAGCTCGCGGCACCACGCGTTCACCCAATGAAACCGACGCCAACGACAACGGCGGTGGTGTTACAAGAAACCTACCATCAGATGGTCTCATCAATTTAGATCAGTAAGCATATATATACATATATAACTTCCATATATACATACATATATATATATATAGAGAGAGAGAGAGAGATTAAATAAGAGAATTATGAAATTACGTACAAAATCATATGTGATTTTACATTAACGGCCAAAAAAGTGTGCAGACGACCCTATGGTCTTGTGGCAAGATCGCGTGAATCACATTTGATTTTCGTACATGATATCAGTGTAAAATCATATGTGATTCGATCATTCTCTTATTTTCTGAAATATTTATGATTCTCAAGTGAATCCAAGCGTGTATTGATGTATTGGTGAATCTTTTTTGATTAATTAAATTTGTGAAATTTACAGTGGCGATCCGACGATGTACGAAGCTTTCTGGAGAAAAATGGGGGACAAGTGTACGGTTGTGATCAAAGGGTATGAACATTTGAGCTACTTTTCAACCAACAAGAACCCTTGTTGGTTTTTGGAGCCAAAACTTGAGGACTCGATCAGGAGCCTACATGGTGCAGTCGGAAATGCAGAAACCGATGGTTATACGATTGTGGTTGGGACCGGTTCGAGCCAACTTTTGCAAGCTGTGCTTTATGCGCTCGCACCACAAGACCAACCCGACCCGATCAACGTCGTATCCGCTGCTCCTTTTTACTCGGTATCCTCATCTCATCATCATATCAATATAATAAAATTGGATTTATATAATGTATATAATGTGTAAGTTATGTTATTTATAAGACCAAATTATAAAATTTTATGTCTAAAAGTGTTACAATAGATTTACAGTATACTTTTGGCCTTTTAACAAGTTTTTATGACACTTTTAAAATAAAATGTATATCAGCTATTTTATAAGACATTTTTTAGAATGTCATATAAATCCATTTTTTTACATTACATTTTAAAAATAAAATGTTGTGTTAGCTATTTTATATGACATTTTTGAGAAGTGTCACATAAACTCATTTGTTTATAGGGTATTTTTAAAATAAAATGTCATATTAGCTATTTTATAGGACATTTTTGAGATTTGTCATAAACTCATATTTTTACAAGACATTTGTGTTTATAGAACACTTTTTAAATAGTGTCGTATAAAATAGTTAATACGACACTTTATTTTAAAGCGTTCTATAAACCTTTTATAACACTTTTAGATATGACGCATTTTGATTTGGTCCTATAAATTTAACGACGCTTAAACATTTTAAACGCCTCATAAAATCTATTTTTAGTAATATAAATTTGACTTAATCTTAACATCATTAATAAATATATTTTCCCGGTTTGAATATCATGAAAATCTTTTGATTAAATACAGTCGTACCCGGAGACTACAAATATAGTAAGGTCGGGAGTGTACAAATGGGCTGGTGATGCACACGGGTTCGATAAAGATGAACCATATATCGAATTTGTGACCTCACCCAACAACCCTAATGGTGTAATCCGTGGACCGGTGGTTAACCGCGATGGCGGGTTTGTGGTCTATGATCTTGCTTACTATTGGCCTCAATACACTCCGATCACTTCTTCGTTAGATTTCGATATCATGCTCTTCACAGCTTCCAAGTGCACTGGCCATGCCGGTTCACGAATTGGGTAAATCTCTTTTTTTTTTGTCTATATTGTCTAAGTGTCATAACGGAATATTCTATAAAACTCATGACCAAACTATAAAGTGTCATATCTAAAAGTGTTACAATAAGTTTATAGGATGTTTTCAAGTGTCTTGACAAGATTTTAGGACGCTTTTAAAATAAAAAGTCATATTAATTACTTATAAGACACTTTTCAGAAGTGTCCTATAAGCTATATGACACTTTAAAACAGTGTCGTAAAAAATATTTAATACGACACTTTATTTTAAGAACGTCTTAAAATCTTGTTAAAACGTCCAAAAACGTCCTATAAACCTAATGTAACACTTTAAAATAGGAAGCTTTATAGTTTGGTTCTATAAACTTAAATCCTATAAAGTATTTTTTTAGGATGTTTCTACATTTTAGACGTCCAGTTTAATTAATTGATTAACACAGATGGGCACTCGTGAAAGATAAAGAAGTGGCAAAGAAGATGATAACTTTCGTGGTGGCGAGCTCGATTGGGGTATCGAAAGAATCACAACTCCGCGTAGCGAAGATCTTGCAAGTCGTTGCAGATGGATGCAAGCGTTTTGGATCTTCGGATGGCGATAATTTATTCGAATACGGGCGAAACGTACTGGCGAAAAGATGGGAGATTTTAAGGGAAACTGTAAAGAACACACAGATGTTTACTCTACCCAAATACCCTCTTCAGCATTGCAATTACAATGGAGACTTGACCCAAGCACATCCAGGTAAATAAATAAATAAATATATATATAAGGTGAATTGTGACACCAGTCTGTTTTCGTAAGACCCGTGAGACTATTTTTTTTACACTTGAAACTTCACAGCAAAACACTGTGAAGGTAAAAGAAAAGGCGAAACTTGACGGTAAAAACACCTTGTATCTAAAATAAAGATTATAATAAAGTGAAAGTGATGATGTGATGATTGCATGCAGCTTTTGCATGGATAAAATGCAAGGATGGAATGGAGGAGTGTGAGAAGGTATTTAAAGGTGTGAAGATATTAGTAAGAAGTGGAAGAAGATTCGGGTCGGATCCTGGGTATGCAAGGGTTAGCATGATGGGTAAAGATGAAGAGTTTAATGGGTTGATTGAGAGGCTTTCATCTGTGATTCAAATCTGCAACAATGATGATTAAGATGTGTAATTTACTGAAAACTGGTGTAGATCCAGAATATGAGGTGTTTGACCAAAGTGCCACCCTCTTTATTATTAATATGTGTTAATTAAAGATTAATTATATGACTTAATGAAAATTAAATATTAGTATTAAATGATGCCATTTATTTATTTTATTTTATTTTGTTTTTGTTTTTTTAGACTCGAGCTTAGTTGGTAAAAGGGAAGAATGACTCTGCCCAGATACAAGATAGTTTTGATACTGGGCTCTTTTCCATTGGATTGTTAGCCTCAGTCGTTGAGTAGGACAAAAGATGTTTTATATGATTGTTTTTTTCTAGTGATAGAAGCTTAAAATCTTTTATTGTCTATTTTTAGATAAATCGTAAATTCAAGTCTATGTTGTGTTCTCGAATCCTCTTTTACGAAGGGAGGGAAAGAGGAGGAAAGTAAACAAAAAATCGTGTTCTTGAAACTATTTTAAGAGATAAAGGAATGAAAATGGAAGGAAAATAATCACAAGTTTCCTCCCAAACTTCCTTCCAGGTGTGGGAGGAAAGGGAAGGAAATAAATTGAACTTTTAAATAGATTATTTAAATTACAAAAATACCCAACATTTTATTATAAAGGACATGTTTTTAAAGGGTATATTTGTAAAAATAATACATTATCTTTCAGATCTCTCTTGTTCAAGAACATGAAAATTGTTTCCGTTTTTATCTTTTCCTTCCTTTTCGAGAACACAAATAAAAATATTATTTCTTTTTCTTTATTTTCCATCCCTTTCTTTTCTTTTCTCCCCAAATTCGAGAACACGTACCATCCTTTTATTTCCATAACATTATGTTCTCAAAACCTTTTTTTTCCGAAAGAGGGGAAAGGAAATGGAGAAAAAGGGGAGGAAGTAAAAAAAACTCGTGTTTTTAAAACTTTTTAGGAGATAAAGGAAATGGAAGGAAAATAATGATAAGTTTATTCCAAAACTTTCCTCTCAAATATGGTAGGAAAGAGAATTAAAGCCCTTTAAAAGATTATTAATACAAAACGATCCAATTTTTCATTCTAAATAATGTATTCTAAAAGGTATATTAGCAAAAATGACATCTTTCATTTCATTTTGAACCTATTTAAGAACATGAAAATTTCTTTTCTTTCCTTTTCAAGAACACAAATATATACCAAATGGTCTTTGGTCTAGCAATATGTGAGTCTTTGACCTTTAGGGAGTCAGGGGTTCAAAGCTCACCAATAACAATACACAGCAAATAAAATTTATCAAATAATTTACCATAAATAAACCAGCAGAAAGGGCCTATCTGCAACTTAAGCTCGAAAGCCCAATCAATTTCCGTTCAAGCCCTATTATTAGAGGTGGCCAAAATTCGGTCCCGGGCCGGGCCTTAACCGGTCCCTACCGGGCCTAATCGCGACAAAAACCGGCGGTAACCGGTCCCGGTGATTTTCCTTGTAACCGGTCAAGGTTATTAGTAACCGGTTGTCCCAACCGGTCCCGGTCCCGGTCCTATAACCGGTCCCGACCGGGCCTATTCAAAAAAAAAATGATTTTTTTTTAAATTTTTGGTTATTAATAAATTTTTAATATGTTATTAATATGTTTGTAATATGATATTTTGAATATGTTTTATTATAAATACATTTTACTATAAATACGTTTTGTTATATATAAATACGTATTTATAAACGTATATATATATATATATATATATACGTTTATAAATACGTTTTGTTATATATATATATACGTTTATAAAGACGTTTTGTAATATATATATATATATACGTTTATAAATACGTTTTGTTGTAAATATGTTTAAAAATACACAATAAAAATACGGTTTATTATATATATACGTTTCGTTGACTTTCGTTGACCGGGCCGGGCCGGGCCGGGCCTATAACCGGTTACATAACCGGTCCCGGTCCCAAAAAACGTCAAAAACCCTAACCGGATCATAACCGGCGGTCCCTCAACCGGTCCCTACCGGTCCCGGTCCCTCTCCGGTCCCCGTCCCGGTCCTCCGTCGGTTACGGGCCGGGCCGGGCCCATTTGGCCATCTCTACCTATTATCCAAGATCCGCGGATGCTTTAAGCATGCAAGCATTGATTTACATATGAATTACAGATTTTGGTGTAAAAAACTCTAGACTAACGGGTTGTTTACTAAATGCTTACCCAATAAGTGCTTATCCGTCATTCACCTTACTGGATGAAATGACAAAAACCGAGAATCTTACCCGGTACAAACAATGATAAGGATGAAGAACCTGGTAGCTAGAATTTTGTTTCAAGTGATAGCATTATTTAACTATAAGAAACAAATATATAAATATTTTCACAAATAATTTTTAGTCTATTGGTTAGTTCTTTTAATTTTCATCTGTGAGGTCCAGCGTTCAAGTCTTTTATTCAAAAAAATAATAGAAACATAATAAATCATAAAATTAAAAGCTCAAAACTTATAAAAATGACACAAATAGAATTCAAACCCAAGTCTAAGGCGGGAGAAAAGTCATTCAAACCAACTTTATCAAAAGATTCTCGTGTCGCTACTGTAGTTTCAAAATATACACATTTACACAAAACAAAATGATACAATAACACCTTTCATGATCCTATAATTTTTTACACCACAACAGAGGAAAAGCAACGGTTCATGCCACCGTATCTATTAAAGCGGGTCCACCCCTGTAAGTGAGGGTGACAGCTCTTACCCGATAAATTGTTGCATACGATACTTTCTCATGGACTACCATCTTACCCAGTAAAGTTTATTACCAGTAAGAGTTTGGACAAAATGAACCCTGAAACGAAGTTTTGTAGGTGAACATCACAACTTACAACTTTTGTTTGGTATGAAACAACATCGTATTGTGCCACAACAAATACAAAAACAACCCCCATCTAGACAACAGCCATTGGCTTCAATTCTCCACAAGTTCCAAAATCTGTATGACTTGAATACAAAAAACACTCGTTCAAAATGGCTCTCACATAACTCTAAGTTCATATTCCCCCGCCATCGTTATATACCGCACCCATGGAAGAGCCTGATAACCGCTTTTTTCGATGATCTTTAGGTACCGAACCTGCAAATTTCCACAATCTCCTATTATAAGAACTCATAAATCTTTGCTTTCATAGATGATTCCTAGCGCTACTAACAGGGCATAAACGGCATCCTTGAGCAAAAGGGTCTCCATGGTTTGCCAAAACATTAATCAGACAGAGAATCGTTATAATAATGTCATAGAATCATTAAATTTTATCAAACAGAACCATGATTCATATGGACTCACGTGTTTCTAGTGGGCTTTCTCATCGTCCATCAACATGGCTTTTAGGGGCACGTTTGTTAGCAGCTTAACGAGCTTAATGCGACTTGCAGCTTATAAGGTCAGTTACAGATGAATGACTGGTAGTGGCTTTAATGACATAAAAATGGCTTATTCAATAAGCTTTTAGAGGGCAGCTTTACGCAGAAAGCCGAGTTTTTTCAAAACCTGTCTCCCTCTCAATTAAAAAACACGCTCCTTCTGACTATGAAAAAAACCCTCCCAAACAAAAACCTTCTTAATCTATACAGACAGATTAATTAACAAAGACAACTTTATCATAAAGGACTTAATGGAAACCAACCAAACAGCCGCTTACTTGAAGTTAATGGTTTTGAATCTCTCAATTACCTACAGAGGGGTTTTTTCAAGTTCATTTTTGTGGTGTTTTGTCATTCTCTCTGTGGTTAAGCTTTCAGTACGTTTGCAAAGCTTCTAGGTCCGATCAGGTTTTGGATTACTTTCGGGTTTGGGTTGCTTCAAGTACAAAAAATAAATGTAATAGCTGAATGACGATGAGCCATATCAGTCAGCGAAAAACTTTTGGGTTTGAGGATCATAGCCAGGTTCTTGGTTGGTTTTTCAGATTAGTAGACAAGGGCTGTCCATTTGCAAGGTTTAACTTCAGTTCAATTCCAATAGCCTCAAGTTTGTGGTTAGGGTTGCTTCTAAAATATGTAGTGTTTGGGATGACATCTTGCATCCTCACCATTGTAACCTTCAAACCTCAATTGGATCCATTTGATTCACTATCAATACAATCTCACTTTTCACGAGAAAAAAAAAAGTAAATTAACCTAGAAGACAAGAGATGCTATCTATTAGCATTTTGTGACCCAACTAGATCTAGAAGACACCATGAGATCTAAGAAACAAAGAACCACTATATTCAGATACCCATTGCAGTTATTGAATTCCATAATCACCCTGTTACCAAAAAGCAAGTGTACCATATTTGCATGAGACTCCTATGTTTGTGTTTATGCTTTACTTCCTACAGAATTCAAACAAGCTCTCTTTACATGTTCTATCAAGAAACAAGATGTTCACTGAAGGTTTCATTTCCTACTTGAAACATGGTTAGTTACTCCATAAGTCGCAGAAAAGAGTTAAACTTGTCAAACCTTGTACTTCTCACACTCAAATTTGATGGCTTCAATGTAGTTTTTTATCTTGATGGGTGTATGATGATAGTTTTTCTTATTATCTTGATGCATGTATTATGAGAAACATTCTAAACTTAGGACAATTTATGTCCTAACAATCTCCCCCCCCCCCAAAAAAAAAAGTTTTATAAAGCAAGCACCTCTTGAAGGCTTCAAGTCTTCTCCTCCCTGCTTTCTTTGAGAAAACAAATACAAAAAGGTCTTTTTTGATTGGATGGGAATGAATGAAAAATTCTTTTTTTTTTTTTGATTAACCTGGGTATCCAACCCGCTATGCTCGCCGACTAATCCCAGGGCGACCACCTGCTTTGCAGATAGCCCGGAGTCACCGCATTTGAACCTCCGTGGCCACAAGGGGATTTTTATTCATTCTTTTGATTGGATGGGAATGAATGAAAAAATTCTTTTTATCATCTTGATGCATGTATTATGATACTTTTTTACAAGTATAAGGCACTACTGTAGTTGCCAGGCTAAGGAGCACCAGGTTCAGGATAGAAATATAAAATTTAAGCAATATGGAATTTAAGCAATATGGTTAATTTTATCACCCCCAAACTAGCATATCTTGGGCAATGCCTTGCATATAACAACTTCAAATGACTGGGTCTGGGCAGGAGAAAAACAGTCACCAAGGGGCTATAAATATAATGGGAAATCTATATGTTGGTGGGCGTATATTGTAATCCCTCTCCCACCCAAAAAAGGGAAAAGGAAAACACTAGCAACTCTAGAAAATCAAGGAATTGCATGGAACGAGAGGAATGAGTGTCTCCTTCAGCTTTAGCTTATATATACAATTTACATATCTATACAGTGAAGGCACTAAATGTCGGATGTTTGCGCAAAAACTGAAGTTAAGAAGTATTTACCTGTATTCCTGAAACTGTAAAATACGGAATCTCGAATTTTACGCGGATAGGAGCTTTTCTCTCGGGAACTATGTCTTCTGCTGTTATGCTGGGAAGACTAAACTCTGCTCTCAACATGTATTCCTGAAAAGTTTAATAATCAGCTTATCTGTATCAAAAGACAAAAATTAAGAAACAATAATTGTGTATATGGCAAACTTAAGAATTTCATCTTCAACCTAGCCAGATAAGGTAACTGAGCAATTAAAGATATACTATATTTGTGGGAAAGTAGGGAGAACTGAAAAACAAACTTATTACCTTACCACCTGGAAATGATTTTATTTTCCAGCATAGTGCTTCGTTTTCTGGTGCGTAGGCAGCTGATCCCATGGAAGTCCGAATATTTGGGTTAATAGCATCAGCTGGTACAGGCAATTCGATTTCAACATTTGTCGCAGTACTGCAAAGTTGAACCATTTTCATAAGAGAAAATCGATATATTTATCTTCACACGTTTTTCATCAAGGAAAAATGAGATGGGCTAGATATATGATTGCAGTTTTAAAAGGAAAGTACAAAATAAAAAAATTATACCTACGCTCCTTGAACTGGCTTCGAGCTTTTACCATAATTTCCATACGGCTTCTAGAATGCCTTTCAATTTGAGCTTCCACCCATATCAGAGGCTTTACCTGAAAGAAACCATCAGATCTCTATAAATCCAGAGAAGGGCGGAGTTCGTTGGAGGAGGAAAGGAATTATGAAAGTAACCTGAGTACTCAGTCGATATGTCATGAGGTCAAAGGCTCCATCTGGAGGTACAAAGGATATTGTCCGATCATTTTCGAAACGGGCCAAGCGCACACACCTACACCAAGTTTGCACATTGGCTGAAAACTAGTAACAAGTAATGATAACAAAAAGAAAACAAGAACATACCTATATATGTGTTATAGATATAATAGTTCAAATGAGAATGACAGACTGAGCCGGTAAGAAAGACGAAATAACAGATGAAAAAGTACAAAAATATGGATGTCAAATTAAATAAAATAAAAATACTCGTTTTTTTGGTATAATTTGTTTGGCTTCAAATTCAGTTATATTCCACCCAATTTTTTTATCAAAACATAAAAGGGGGGTCGTTTTTTGTTTTCCAAAAGAGATGGTTGCAACAACCTTTTTAATCACATCCGTTCGATCGTATCATCTTATGGTTGAGATTTATTCTTACCTTCTTGCATTAGGTTCATGTGGGGTAGAATTTTCAAAAACACTATTTTGTTGTGGGGATTCCAAGACATTTTTCCTTTATACGGGTGTGCATCTCCACACCAGGAAAAGAAATTAATGGTCATAGAGGATCAATGTTTCTGATGGCACTACTTGCAATTTAAACATTGACCATGGGGAAAACATTTGAACCAGAAGGTTGGAAAACATACTGGTGGAACTTGATGTCATCCAAATCAATGGCTTTCCCCTTAGTAGACCGTCCTTGTGCCTCCAGTAATACTCGATCATTTAGCCCAAGCTTACACTCAGGCATACCACTGCAAGCAATAAAGCCATTGTTAATTATAATAAATCACAAATCCAGTAGATCTCTGAAGTATAACACATTTTACCATCTTTGTTGCATGCAGAAGTATGAGATGCTTGTGAACAATGATAAACAGATGATTGTTAATTAAAACCTTTTTCCGTGACAAAGATCTTATAATTCAAAAGGAACTGCAGTTCCATCTCTTTTCATTTCCATTCAAAAACTCTTATCTCTTTCCACACTAGTCCATACCCCATAATAGAGGACTAAATGTTTAAGAGTAGCATGGTAGAAGCACTGGTCTATATAACAGTCCCATAGCCAACATTAATGCACTACTCATTATTTTTGTAAGGGTTCAATAGGACAACACAATTACAGTAGAACCCTGGCATGGTTGAATATCTAAGGCAAAGATGCAATGAGATATCAATTCCTACAAGGCTACAACCACATAATCCAAAAGCATAAGAARCCAACTAGAAAAGTAGGCATCTTAATACTTAATCTGCCATAGGTTCAACTGTTTTTCCATCTCCAAATCAGGACATCCAATTTGCTTGCAGGTGGAGAATTACTAAGGAAACTTCCAAAATATTTCAACTTTCCCTTGTTCCCCAATATGCAAACATGCCTAATACTCTCCACAACCAAGACCACTGATTAAGAAACAGCTTATTGTTGAATTTATAGGCTTGAAAGACAAACATTTTTGCAAGATCCTTTTAGTTGGGTGGGTTTATAATATACACAATAGCATCTTCCAAATACAATCCTGTGTAATACACTACTATTCAATTCAAGATAATATGAAACAAGCTTCCCAACAGCCAAGACACTGGGAAAAACATCAAGTGAAATAGAGCCTAAACCAAACCTTGGCTCAATTTAGGAGGCTGATTGTTATTCCCACTACTCCATACCTATCTTTGACATATTATCCAACTTTGCATTAGAAGAGTTGTTTCTAGCTCACATCCAACCAATATCAAAAGGGAGTTTTTGAAGGATAACAGCATGTTATGCACTGTGGATCTAAATGTGTGTAAAATGGGACGGCATCAGAAGTAGTAAGGGTAGACCACAACAATTAAACATCAAACAGGTTTTTAGCTTACTTCTGATAATGCATGCAGTTCCATATGGCACATACTAGCTAAGAAATTGAAATAGATGAAATGCATCTTCACCTAACATCTATTTTAAGGCTCAAAACGACTTCACAGCATCAACATCAAGGATCAGTGACCCATGCATTAATCAGACTGAACTAATAATAATATCTCACCAGCTAATGGATGCAATGGTTCTTTGATCAGCTTTAGTTTAAAAAACATTAAAGCATATAATAATCCAGTTGGTTTATTGAAAAAAGGTGGAGACAAACACTCAATAAAACTAAACTGAAAAGTGTAAAGAAAATAACAGAAGTCTCTTTGGTTATAGATGAGATAAGATGACATATTCTATGATGGCTGATCTGTGAGACTGTCCCCCTTCATTCTAATTTTAATAAATTATTTCAGTTTCCTTTTTCTCAAGTTGCTAGTTTTAATCTTCACTACATGTTTCATTGTTGTTATTACAAGTACTTGTGATTTTTCTTTATGTCAGGGGGACTTGCTTAATGAAGTTCAATTCACTGGAATATTTCACTTTCACTTAAATCACCTAAATAGTGCCTGAAAATTCAGGTAGTGATTATTGAAATTTGTACGGCTGATAGGTACAGATTAAAAAAGATAACAAGACAACAAGAATGAAAATTTCCAACTAGTTTTTTGATGGTATATTGTAGATGGTGAGAAAATAAGAGAAATTTAATTCACCTCAAATAAGTTCGCATCTTCAATGCTCCAACAACTTCTGACCTAACTATCTGTCCATTACTGTTGACAAGTATATTCACACTCTCCACAACATCCAAAAATACCTGAACAAGACAAAAAAATATGTGTAACCTGATCACAATAATCACCTAGTTGATTCACAATAAAAGAAAACCTACTTCATTCTTTTTGTAATGTATTCCTTCACTACGCCAGGACACAGCATTTGTCACAGCCATGGGAGGCCTCTGTGAAACTTCCATCCTATATGCATCAGTCTTGATAAACTCACTAAGAATTTTAGCTTCAGTGTATTGAGGGTAACCGAAGTCCATCATTTCATCAAGCAACTCATACTGCAAGACATCATAAAACTTAGGTGAACTTGCATCCTTCTAATAATGGCATATTTTAGTGAGAAAATATCTAAAATACTCATACCACTACGACAAAGTTATCTCTAAGCGATTCCTCTTCCAACTCCTCAAAGTAATGCTTAAATACCTGTTACCAATTACAACAATATTCTGATAGATAAGATTTAATCACATAGATTGTATGGAAGTGTAATAGTGCATACAATGATTCAAATAAGTTTTTTTTTCTTTTTTTTTTCTTGTGGGACAGTAGGATAGGGAGCCAAGTGTTCCAGGGTTTGGAAACTGTCAAGGAGGAAATGTGATGGTATATTTCTAGATCTACCAACAATAGAAAAGCTGATTCATTCAGTTCCCAAATAGCACTTACATCAACTACACGGTGTAGAAATAGAAGAAGACTGGCAGCATTACAATTCTGTCTCGAAGCAGTCATTAGATATACATTGTTGTGTTGTATGAACATATACGTGACACCATTATCATAAACAACTGGATCTTGAGAATCTGAATCACCCTGAAGTTCATCAAAACACCATAATTCCATAACATGTTACAAACATACTCAATTTAAGTAACTCCATCAGAAAAACAAACCCAACCTCAATATATGTTTGCAGGATTAATATGACAACAGTACTTTTAATGAAAAAAAAGAGAAAATTACAAAAACCCCATCCAACATATTGATCTTATTCATTTAAATCTTCAGCTCAACCAAAGAACTACGACTCGCAAACTGACTACTTCATCACTTCTTCCTAATTTCCTAGTTAACTAAACCATGAACTACAATAAGCAAAACTGAATGGACTTGTGGATTTTAAACAGATGAATGTGGACCACTTAAATTGGGAGTCAATTATAACAGATTTTCCTTCAAATCCGGTTTGATTTTACAATATCTAAGTAGAAATACAAACATCTTAGCTCAATCAACCTACTCTGTGAACTACATATTGTTTTACTTTTCTGGTTTAGATTTCTAACTATGATAACTTTAACATATAAATCTAACAAAAAAACAACGAAAACGAAAGTACCTCTTTCTCAAGAAATTTGGTGAAGAAACGTTCGGCCTGAAGTGCAGAAACGTCGCCACGGTAGTCGCGCCACACCAGAACACGCCCTTTGATGTCAAGAAGGAACAGCGCAGAGGCCGCCCCTGCCATCAATTATCCGAAACCAGATAGATCAGATCCGTGTTGATTGATTCCAAATTAAGATCTGGTTTCTTATCAGATCGTCTGGTAAATGAACAAACTCCTCCTGGTGATCAAATATACATTATCTATCTGCTCAAATTCGCAAAACAAATCAAAATTTCACAAAAACGACTTGGAGATTTCTGGTGTATGATCTGTATCGTATGCTTCTCCGCGTGTTTCAGAAGAAATCAAGCTTGATGATGATGATGATGATGATGATGACTACGACGTAGCTCAGTCGGGCGTTGCGCTGTAAGTAGCCGGTGGGTGGGAGCTGCTGGTTTGATCTAGCTGGTGATTCAGCCCAGAAATAATGGTCAAGCCCAATATATTACACGGGTGGCGGTGAAAAAGATAAACTGAAAACCCGGACCGAATACATTATCCAAGTACTATTTATTGACCCACGGATAACATGACCCTATTCACCGAACCGTTTGAGTTAAGCGTTTCATATGAGTTGGATTTGTCGGATATAAAACATTTGAATAACCCCATCCAATATTTGGGGTTTAAAAAATCTCAAACCAACCAAACCTAACCCAATCCAACCGTGTAAGTTGGGTCGGGTTGATTAATTTAGTGATGGAAATTTACTTGTAAGGACGAGTACATGCGGATAACCAAGCCTAATGGGGCGGGGTTAGAGATGGCATTATAATTCCTAATCTGATGTATATATAAAAAATATATATGTATGTAAGCAAAGAATCGTATGAGAAGGAGAGTTAAGGTAAGAAATATACGAGATATGAACTCTTAATCATCTTTAATCTCAAATTCACTCATTAATCGCGCTTGATACGGGTAGTGATCCAGTGCATCTCAATATCTCATCATAATGTGCATCTAATAGTGGAAATCTCATTCTTACGTTTCTCATCTTAAATCTCCTTCTCACCGGATCACCCTATGTATGTATATATTAAATAACAAATATATTTTATTTTCGATGTTGACAATTAATATAGTGACGATTCATTATAATTTTAATTTCAAAATATATCGTTTTTATTGTTTTTTTTTTACTAAATGGGTACCTAACGAACCTGTCAGAGAGGGGTCGGAGATGGAGGCTTAAATGAGGTCGGGGGTCGGGACGAGGATGCATTACCCGCCGCGTTTCCATCCCTAATCGGGTTGAAACTTTGGTATACTCTAGGCGTTTTATTTAAACGAAATAAAATCAAAATGAGAACATACAAAAAAAAATTTGAAAGTTTATAAAGTATCGAGTTCATCGGGTTGGGTTGTGCTCAAATTAACGTAACCAAAAATGCGGTTTGGCTTAATTTTGTAGCAACTATATTTTTAGGGGTTTTCAGGTTGGGTTAGTCGATTTTTTATGCATCAGCCTGAGTCCCCCCTTTTTTAAATCTACGATTTTATCAACTCGTTTAGTTGTGCAAAGCTTTTATTTATTTTGGAGTAAGTTATGTTTTCTTCATGTGGTTTATTAAAATTGTTGTTTTTGCTTTTATATTTTTGAAATTATGATTTACAACTTGTTGTTTTTGTTCTTGTGGCCTATAATTTATTATTGTGTTCGTTCCTTATACTTAAATATGGGACTTAGCCTCAAAATTACAATGAATTGGAGATGAAAACTACATTTCAAAACTATAAGGACGAAAAATTGCAATTTATAGCAAACTATAGGGGCGGAAATTATAATTTACATTTTTATTTTAGAGTAAATTACATTTTTCATCCTTATAGTTTGTTAAAAATTGCAATTTTCATTTCTATGGTTTGTAATTTATTATTATTTTCGTGTCTGAACTAAGTCTTACTTTTTTACGTACAAGGGATCAAAATAGTAAAGAACTATAAACCATAAGAACTAAAACAACAATAAATTATAAATCATAAGAACGAAAATAGCAATGATTTACAAGCTATTGGGATGAAAACCACAAGAACGAAAATCGTAATTTTTAACAAACCATAGGGAGGAAAAACGTAATCTACTCTTTATTTTATTATGTGATAAAATGAATTGCTTTTCGTTGGTTAATCTTTTTTCTCTTTATAAAGCGAAAATCAACTTCGATTCAAAAGATGCCAAATTTATTTTGGGAGAAAGCAACAATAGCAGTACAGTATATAATCTGTATTCTATGCAAAATCCTGCCAAAAGAGAAAAGGACATATAAATTATTCGTGCTTGATTGTTTTTATTTCATGCATGGTCGAAACACTATGGATGTTGTCGTGGGTCCGGGATGCTCCTCTAACGCCAATTTAAGGATCAAATAGTGTCGGTTAAGCATAAGGAACCAATATGATACATAGATCAATCGGTTATCATGTTGTAAACGTTTTCATAAACTAGCTTTGAAACCCGCATGTACTCTCTAAATTGTTCTATTTATTTGTTTTCCTTCCCAAAGTATGTTGTAATTAATAATTATATATTATTTTAATATATATATATATATATATATATAATATTTCAGATTTTAGTTTCATATTAATTGATTTATTTTTAAAATTTATTTGTAGATTATAATCCAAAATATAAAAACCAATTATTTTATAGTTAACGGTGTAAAAAGTTTAAGTAAATCAGGAGACCATCTATACTATATTACAAGTATTTGATAAAAGTTTTTAAAAACTATTTTTTATATATGAAATATTGTTTATTGATACATATTATTTAAAATTCAAAATTGCAAGTAAATTGTGTGTAATTACAATTTATTAAAACTTTATGTTTGAATTCGTGCAACTAACTGCCGATAAACATAATCAAATACATGATAAATATCTCATTTTAAATATAAAAAATCTAAAATTTAATTAGGATCATCATTAACTTCTAACAAAATACTTGGATCTTCATAAAAAATTATTAAATAAAAAATGAACTAAAAAATACACAAAAAGGAAAAATTTTAAATAGTTGGTTTGATACTAATATCAATTTTTATCAATTTTTTTTTCTCAATTTTTTTATGAAATATTTATATTTATCTTTTATTCAAAAATAAAAGCATTATCACGTTATCAAAACCACACATATTATAACATCAATTGAGACAAAAAAAAACGAACATTAAAATCGAGATGTATCTCGCTGCATTGTGCAAGTACCATTATAGTAGTTCAAAAATCATGAAATCAAAATATTTGTGTTTATACTTTTTGGATTGTCAGAATTTCGTAACATATTCTTCGGCCCCTTAGTTTGTGTTATGCCGCTGGTTTTATGTGTTGATGTTTAAATGATTTATTTGTGTTCTTATATTGAAGTTATAAGAAATTTGCACAAACGTCTATTATCCTGTAATGTTTAGTTAAACGTTAAACAAGCTTGCACGGTAATTTTTTCAATTAATAAAGATTCTATTTTTCTATAAAAAAAAAAGTTCATTTTAAGACATTACTTGTACAAACGAACACAACTTGTTTAGGTTCATCCTAATACATCGCCTACACAATCAAACAAAGCTTGCACGGCTCATGCTCGCACTCACTCAAGGTCCACAAAATCTTCGTCAATTACCCAAAAAAGAATTTATATCAATCTTCAGAATTTAACTGCATCTTGTAGTTTTCTTGTCTTTTTGAAGTATATAATATTTATATAGTGGTAAATAGAACAAATAAATACACACACTTTCCTCAGCTTTGGTGAGGTTTGCCAAAGATTCACATACCACTAGACCAAAAGCCCTTTGGTTTGTAGTTTTCTTGTTGATGCATTGTATTATTTTTTTGTCTCAATAATATGTTAACTTTACTCAAATACAAGACATGTCACGAATACAATCCCGATCCCCTACTAGCCTCAGTTCCTTACATTGATGTCTTTGGAGGCGGGTTCCGTGTGGAACTGATTAAAACTGTCGATAATCAACTTTTTTACCCAAATATACTGACTTTAAAAAAAATGTCATGTTCATTATAATATCACATATTTAAAAAAAAAAATGAACTAATGGTTAAATATCAAAAATATCAGTTAACTATGACAAAGTAGAAAACATGGATTAGGGTTCGATTTCATGTGTATATACGAATTATAGCCACCGAATTTATCAAAACTAAATTTCTATGATCATAATTTTCAAGAATTAATCCAGACATAACATGTGACACCTTTGTATAAAACAACATAAAAAAAACACATAAATTATAATTAATCTTGTAAATATATTATATTTAACTGACACACATGAAAATTTAAAAATAGCCATGGCAGGGAAATAAAAATGACCTTATCAAGTCTGAGCCATTAGGCGATAGCCATGGCAGGGGGTATCAATTATCATAGCTCATGGGCGTTAAGAACTTTTCGGCGGTGGTGGAGGGATGTTGTACTTCGTAGGTGGTCCGGCCACCAGTGGCGGCGACGGTGGTGGCAGTAGCGGACTTAGCGGTGGCCGTGGTTTTGGTAAATAAGGGATACGGAAATTCCGAGGTCGACTTACTTTCGGTGCCGGTGGTGAACCCTTACGTACCACACGGAAATTTGTGGTAGTGCTTTGCATCTGCTCCGTTGGCGGTGGCGGAGGTTGAAAGAAGCTGAAATAATGTGAACTTCGATCCAGCTCAGGCGACGGAGGAGACGACGGCAACGTTCTTAGGTATCTATTTCTACCGGAAATTACAGTTCCTATAAGCAAATATTGAATCGATTTTCTCAATCGCGATTGTAATCTGATGTGAACATCCATGAAAACAACAAAATTAAGAATGATAAATGCTAATTTTACCTGGATCTGGTTGGATTGAAGCAGAATTTGCTTGAAGAAGATGATGAATTATGAGAATGGCGAGCAATGGGGAGAGAATCGTCTTCATAGCAATAGCTGGATTCTTGTTTGAGTTTCTTCAAATGGTCCCTTTTATAGGAAATAAATATCCAAAGATTAAATTCTATTAGGGGTAAATCTTCAAATCGTAGGTATTGAGTTGAATTGTGTTACGGTTATTTGAATCCAACCCGATGAACCCGATAATCTTTTTTTATTGGATTTAATATGAACCCGACGAACTTGATATCCTTTTCATATACATATATTTTCATTCTCTTCTCCATTTGTATATTACTTATTTGTATATACGTTTAGTAAATGTGAACATATATAGGTAAATTGAGAAAAATATTTGAATGTGATATACTCCAGGTTTAAGGAATATGGATGAGATGTACCAAATGATTAATGATAAAAAAAAATTATGAGTAGATAAAACAACATAGTCGAGGTAAGAAAAATAGTTTGATGTCTCATAGTATTAATCCGACCAACCCATGTTTGTCCAAAGTGTTACATCTACATTAATTGTATATGAAGGAAAAGGAATTATGACTCCTGAAGAAGAGGAAGAATAAAGAAAGAAGTAGAAAGCCGAGTGTCTTCGAAAAAATATTGACTCAGACATTCTTCGAGTGCCTCCTCCTCCTCCTCAGTCTAATATGGAGGATGTGAATCTCTCCGAAGAAGAGTTGGCTGCAGCCAAAACTCTACAAGTTGAAAGAGATTAAAAAAAACTTATAGTTATCTGTATTGATCCAAGAGAATAATGTTTTCAACAAAATTGGAGGAAGATCTTCATACACCAAGATTTGTAAATAGTTGTTTGAAGCTATTAATCCATCCAAAGAAGATCTCCTACAGACTGACCATATCTCTGTAAAACATGTACCTGATAAAGACATTCCTTATTAGTAGGTTTGTCTCTACATGAACAGTGTTGTGTGCATGCATAGTACGATGAAAATGATATATCAACTATAGTCAAGTCAAGTCAACATTTGCCTTCTTATCCTAAGATGACAAGTGTCCTCATGCATTTAATGCATGAAGGTAGTATAAAAGACATAGTGCATCTCTTATGCAAATCACACTTCCCTGAAAGAGTCTCTAAATACATTCTCAAGGCAATCGGCTCTCTTCTACCATTCTCCTACTCTTCTATGTGTGAAGAAGAACCTTAGTGTTCTTCATTTCCTTGCAAGTACTTTCTGTGTTGTTCTTGTAAGTTTTTCTCTATGTAAGATTGTTTAGGTTAGGTTATCATTTCATTCTTCTGCAACAATTTGTATTGTATCTTTATATGTTAGTTCTTGATATATATCAATAAGAAATAAAAAGTAGAAAAAAGTCGGTGAAATTGTATTCACCCCCTCCCCTATTTTACAATTATTTTTTGTTTATTGTCATCTCATTCGAGACCAACAATCTCTCTCTCTCTCTCTCTCTCTCTCTATATATATATATATATATATATAGAGAGAGAGAGAGAGAGAGAGAGAGGGGGGGGGGGTTCAGGAAAAACCTCAAGAAAATGAAAAACTAATGAACATTTTAATAAATGTTCATTTGTACGGTATGTACATGTTCATTCAAGTAATTGAAGATTTTATGGTTCTCTATGCACGTATGCATGTTATACACATATATAAATGTACATATTATAAAAATTACTTGTATACACATGCACATACCATACAGATGAATGATTACTAGAGTATTCCTCAGTTTTTCATTCTTTATGTAGTTTTTTCCCATAACATGACCCTATATAGGGGGTTTAAAATACGAATAATGTAATTGTTACAAACCAACGTCAAACCTTATGTGTAGACAATCAATGGTGTAGATTAAATGGATTTCCATATTTACGCTCAACATTAGTTTGAACTAATTTAATAACCGCCTTTAGATTTCAAAACAAACAATGTTTTGATTTTCGATACTTAAAAAATCAAAATTTTAAATTTTTATCTACTAATTTAGGGTTGACTTTTTGCTATTTGAAATCATCCACAAAAGTCCAAATTAAGTAAGTCAACTTGGTAAGTAACGTGATTTATTTTATAAACAATAGGTGTTAACCTTAATTAACAAAAACAATGGCCCTCGCGGTGGTCCAACAAACCCGAAAATGCTTAGATTCCAAATCCGTGAGTTTTGAATTGAAATTTAAATCGGAGTAAAAAAATGCAGGTAAGATCCGTGGAACGATAATACATATGAGACTGTATTTAGTGTACTCGAATTTTGTTTCAACTGTCATTTGAGATCAACCCGCATGACACAATAGATTTGCATTTTCGACTCTAGTTCGGGATTTTTAGTACTCATCGCTCTAGTTGATGCTCAACGAGATCGGTGTTTTCATGACTCATTCGGTTGTATCTGTAAGAGTTTTGAGCAAGTATTGTTGTTCATTTGTACTTTTTTGGGTTTACTCTTTGTTTGGTCAGTGTTTTTGACATGTTTTGTTGCGCTTTTTTTTTTTTTCTGTATCTTACATAAAAGTTTCGACAAAAATAATTAAATTCATATATTGAGATTCAGTAGACAAAAATACAATATATGTTGTTTGCTTTAATGGTTCGATATTGTAAATTATTGTTTCATAGATAGGAAAACAATCAGTAAAAATAGTTGCAAAAACAGAAAAAACCATAAAATTACAACATTTTTTTTAACGTTATCAGCATGCGAATTTTATTTTTGTACGGTGACTTTTGACTTTTCCAAATCATTTGTCCAAAGTTTCCTTTATCAAAACCAACATGTTCTTGTGTGAAATCAATTAAGTTTCAATGAGGCATGTGAATAGAGATGCATGTGAAGTATCTCAAACAAAAGCATAAACTAATGAAATTCCAACTTAAATCAACTCTTCATCATTGAATTACAATATGATTATTCTATTAGTGATTGTCGATCAATTGAAACAAACTTGGACTTCAAATGTTAAAAGTGTATGAAGGTTTCAGGTTTGAATCCAAGCAGGAATAAAAAAAAGTTCCCTTGTGGCTACGGAGGTTCAAATGTGGTGACTCTGGACCACCCGCAAAGCAAATAGTTGTAATGTGATTAGTCGGCTCTTACAACAGGTTGAATATCTAGGTTAATAAAAAAAAAATGATTATGCATCTTCATAAACATTCATTGTGGTAGTCACCTTGAATTGTTCCAACGGACATTGGTTTCGAATCCAACCCCACCTACCCTCTCGTAGGATACTGCCTTTTTATCTTCCAGTGATAACTGTGGGACTCATACGATGAGGCCGTTCTAAAAGATAACATGATTTTTTCCCTCAATAGTCATTGTAGTAAGCATCATGACTAATTGTAGCCATTGATTGCAAGATTAAGATCAATTTCAACAAATTTTCTCCATGCATAGTTGCATACTAACCAAAATAACTAAGAAACAAAGGTAAAGACCGTTAATTAACGAAATGAGAAAACGAAAAGAAAAAAATCAAAGCGGGATTCATCATTTACACCCTGTAATGCAATCATGTTTTATTGAACGGACTTTTTAGGTCGTACAAAGCTTTAATACTTGAGACAAGTCAACTGACACCAAAAATATATATTTTTAACGGTATTCAAGGGATCAAGCCAAAAAAGAAAAACAAATGCATTTTGATATACCTAAAACCGTATAAATAAAAGGGTGCAAGGAATGTACGTGGGTTTTATGCACTTTGCTCTAGTGGTTTAGGAATGACCGCAGAACTCCACATCAACGGTAACGATGATGGTTTCATCCTTTTAGACCATTTATTACTCTCAGTATATATTGTTCCTTGTTGCCAATTTGCATTTTGTCTTGTCGTGTCGCAGTTGCAATCACAACTACAGCCTAAATCACACATAAAAACACAAATTTAAACCATTCGTCTACCATGTCCCACTTTTTTTCTTTTCATTTTCAGAAAACCCCGAGAAATTAAAGAACATGAATCAATAACTTTCAAAACAATATCGTCTAAAAAGATCCTATAAAAATACCATGTTTGATATCAGATTAAAAAACAACCGATTTACCTGGAACTGTAAAATGGCCATGAAGAGTGTCATGAACCAGTAAGCAAACAAGAAGCAAAGCAATTAATCTTGTAAGAAGGTCAAGTAAACTTGTCTTTGTTTTCATTCTATGGAGAAATTTGTGGAAATTTGGCCAAATATAGCTCCAAAATGTGTAGTTGACTTTGGTTAACAAGAGTGGTTGACTATCTTATATGGTTTGCAATGGCATTTGGTCAACGGCTAAGGTTGAATTAATCATTATGTGGATGCATTTTAAATAAATTCGTATAATCATTTTTAAATATCAAATGTTAATAATATTATTGACCTATTAAGAGGTTGTTTGTTTATCTTTTAATAGTTCCATTAAGAGACAGTTTCTGAATCGTTAAGAGGTGAATCTTGTTTGAAATAAAAACATTTGTCTCTTAATGGTTTGTATCTTAGGCCTCCCTTAACCATTCAGTGCCCTAATTTCATTAAAACAATTAACAAACAGTTATATTTCATTTTGCACTATATCATGAGAGTCTTTTAATCACTTAATCATTCTGCACCAAATCATCCAACAATTGACAAAAAGCCCCCAACTTTTATAATATAATATAGTTTTAATACCATATATTAGGAAGAGGAGGAAGTTCCATTATCAACCTAAAATTTGTTAGGAACCTGATAATCGCTTACAACGCGCCATGTCTCTTTTCAGAATGAATATTTATCATGAATCACATATTTAAGTTGAATACGGAAATTATATTCATCACGAGTAACACATTCATGATAAATATGAATGTATTATTCATAATTTAAATTAAGATTTCAACTGAATAACTCGATTTAAAATAAAAATAAAGTGATTATATATCCATTTTAATACAATTTGGGCTGCATTTAATAATTGGTCAAAAAAACTACTCTTTCCGGTTATCAGCCCAAAACAAAAATAGGAATCAAATAACCCAAGATCCATAACCCGTCTGACCAACTCCGATCCAAGTATCCAACTACATCACAAACGGGGCGGTCCTGGTTTTCGGATTGTTTGATTTGTTTTCAATGAAGTCCATATATAAATAATTCTATACTATATTATAAATCATTTGATAAAATTTTTAAAAATCGTTTTTTTATGTATTACTTAAAATTCAATATTACAAATAATTTTGCATAAGTATAATTTATTAAAGTTTTATTTTTAAATTTGTGTAACTAAC